GTCACCGATAAGAATTTGCAAAAGAAACGAGTCAACCTTCTGATTGCAATATTTTACCCTAAGATACGATTAAAAACTAAATACGCACCGATTGAGCTTGCGTAGCTGCTTTTCCCAGCGCTCCTTGAATTGATTATTACGGTTGGCGTAGCGGGAGTTGACCCAATGGGGCTTGGTCCGGTCCAGCTCGTCGATGAGCTTCTGCAGCTCTTTAATGGCGCGCACCTTCTGGCGGTAGCGCTGGATGGCTGGCAAGTAGCCCAGGTGGTGGGCCTGCAGCGTGAGGAACCAGCACTGCGTCTGGAAATTGGGGTTCTCCACGGGCTGGCTAAAGTCCCGTGCCAGGAAGTTGCGGTACTCCTCCTCGCTGTAACGGATCTTCGTGTCCTGTTCGATGTTGACGAGGGAGTTCTTGTAGTAGTGAAAGTTGGGCTCAATGCGGTCCAGCTTGATCTTCACCGAAAGCTGTTGCAGCACGCTCATCAGGTTGATCACAAACCCGTCCCTGGCCAACAGCTTTTCGTCACTGGCAAACTGCACGCGGCGGTCATTGTGGCGAAGGATTTTAGAGATGTACTCCAGAGTCTTGGGACGGCTGCTGGCATTTACACATAGCGAGTGGAAAACAACGTGCATGTGGGTCCGCATTGAGTGGAGCTCCTGGATAGGTTCGAAAAAAGGCAATCAGTAAAGGGCATTTTAAAAAGCTGCATACTATTGAATAAATACCCCCAAACATTTCCAAAAAGTATAATTTTTAAAACCATATCGGCTCAACGTTAAGGAATTACCATCTTTAAGCAGGCAAGAAGTTGAAGGTTGGGACATGTGGCGGGAAAAATGGGCGAATTCCCGTGGGGCGTCCAAAGTCTTTACCTTAGATTTTACCTGTCTGCTCACAGTCTACACTTTACTTATGAAAAAGACCCACAATGTGAACTTTATGAAAGATACAGTCATTCATGGTTAACTACTACGCTCTCTTTTTTACTGTTCTAATCTAAAGCGGTACATAAATATATTATTTAAAGTTTTCATTATCAAAACCAACATTGTGGTTGTAGTTTTTATGAAAATTTGATAAAGATTTGGGTAATTAGGCTTGGTTATAGGAATATCTGATAACCATTATAAAAGTAACTCACCCATCGCAAACGCGAGCTGGCCGCATCTTCAAGTTTATTCTTGGTGCTGAATTCTGCAAACTTGACATTCTCTTCGGCGAATAGCGAGACGGAGAGGAAGGGTCCCAGGAAGCTGCATTTTACTATTTCCCGCCCGGATATCTTTGTGCAGATGGGCGGCAGGAAGTTTGGCTGTCTGGACACGAGATCGGCAATGGGACGCACATTGCCGACCTTGATGACCACTAGTTTGGCCAGCCATTCGATCTGCTGCACACTGATCTTGGAAGTGCAGATGTTGCGTTGCATTCCGGCAAAGAGGCCCCGAAGCACCTGGCTGAAAATGGCGTCGAATGCATCGCGTTCCTGGTGCGTGTGCGCTATCAAGTCGATGAGGAAGGACTCGCTCACCTTGCCCATGTACATCAGTTCAAGCAGAGCCGACTGATCCATATGGCCGTTGAGATTCTGGTGGATGCGATCGGTGAGCACCAGGACGGTCATCCGCATCACCTGTTCGAAGGCCAGCTGCAAGGCTGGCTGTGTGAGGGACGTCTTTCGAGAGCACTCTATTAGGTAGTTCTCATAGCAGCGGATTAGATAGAGCAGCACGTGGTGCTTGGTAGTGGTCACGATGCTAAGCACCGATGGTACCGCGCAGGCACCTCCAGCCTCGCTACTCGTCGTTTCCATTGGGCCAGGTGCTCCACCGGCAGCCGATTCTTCTGTGGTTGCTGCACCACCGGTGGCTACCGCATTGGCCAGGATCTCCTGCACCTCCGTGTCATCTGATTTGATTTTCTTGGCGGACGAGAACTCCTTATCGTCTGTCAGAGTGGAACCGGCTTCTCCTTCGCTCAGCTCGTCGTTGTAAATCTTTAAAGCCGCCTCCATCAGCACATTTGACACAATGCACTCAAAGTCGAATCTACGACTGGGCTGCTGCTCCAGGAAGCTGGCGCTTTGGGCACATATGATGGAACCGCTGCCATACTCGTTCCATGTGGCATTCAGCAGCCGGGAGAGCAGCTGCTCGTTCTGCTCATCGACGCTCTTGGTGGGGCTGCCCAAAGACTCAACGGCCAATTCATGATTTCCAGCGGAGATCTTGCAGCTCTGCAGCACACTTCTTTTGATACCCTCGGTGGCTGGCAGGCTTAGCACTGACGTCATTTCCACATCTTGCACTGGTGTCGACGCCACCGACTTCATCTCCACATCCATATCCGGTTTGCCGCTCAGTTCCGACCAGGCGGGCGCGGGTGTGGGCGTGGTAGTAGGCAGGGATACCTCCTTGTCGCTGGGCGTGGCTTGGCGCACCAATCGAGACTCGCCAGAGACATTGGTCTGCTTACGGGGTGCCTTTTCAGGACTGGGAGTCAATGGCGTCAAAGCGCCTTGGATGCCACTTCTGGCGGCCAAAGTCCGAAGACGACGGGCACGCATCTGTAAGATTTCGAGTGGTTAGTTTACTTTAATATACTCTAATATTATTAATATGGTATAAGTAAAGGGGAATACAAGATTAGAAAGATCGCATAGCATTTCCTTAAAAAAAATCGTGACTCAATTGCCATCTTAATCAGTTTATATATATATATATATCATACAGTTTTGTTCTTTTTATGTAGATGAATGCCGCTGCACCGTTTACAACCAACTTAAAATAAGTTTCGGGTTAAGAAGTACTTGCCTCTTCTGCGGTTAATTCGGCGACCACAACTGTCTCCGCCGGCTGTTGTGGCTGCTCCTCGGGTTTGTCCTCCTCCGTCTGTTGCTGCTGACATGGCACAACGGCCTGCTGAAGCTGGGGTTGCTGAAGCTGCTCCTGATCCTGGTCCTGATCTTGGTCATGCTCCTCATCCTCCTCCTCCTCCATGGGCTTTTGTGGCGGCTCTTCTTCCGGCATTTCTCGGATCCGTTGTGAAACAATGCGCAGTTGCTGCGATTTAGTTTTTCCTCTCTGTTTTTGTTTGTTTGTGGCGTAGTTTTTCCGCCGATTCTTCTCCTGCAAGACGGGAGGCGATGATGTGGGTTAATGAACCAAACAAAAGCACGCGCAGTCGACAAATAAAAAACAAAGTCCAGCGGTCAACGTCAAGTTCAAGACGAGACAATGCCGCCATCACCTTCACCAAAACCAGCACCAGATGGATGGCCGTTTTCTCTTTGTGAGCAACTACGCACTACGAGGATGTATTCGACGGAATGTGGCATATCTGGGGGCCAGGACAACTGACCTGCCGCAAAATCAAAATCAAAATCAGACGCAGATCGCCCGAGGTTGACAAAAAATGCACTGCTGCAACTATTTATAGAAGGGGATTTCGAGCAGGGTGTACTGCACCTAGAGGTGCAGTAAACAATATCATAACATATGCGAATCGGATGGGGAAACCTTATATAATGGAAGCCGATCGGCAGGGAATGGCCAATAAATAGACTCCCCCTAAAAGTAATCTGCGCATTTGAGGAAGCAAGTAAAAGACACAGAATCGAGATATATAATCGGGCAATAAGGGTGAGTGAGGAGTCGGGGGTCGCGGGGTTCATGTGTGCACTTACCTGACTCTCCGGACTGACTTTCACCTGCTGCAAAACAATTTGTTTATGTTCCGGCTCTAAACTATTGCATTTTACTGCCTGGTCCCAGAATTTCTGTTTAGCAATTCCCGAACAAACCTCGACTGGTGACCACGCAAAAAATTTCTCTTTTGTTCCGATTTGAGGATTGGTTATCGGGCCCTATATTGACCTTATATTTTGGAACGCCCAATTGCAGTCAAATATCGAAACGAGTGAATCACTAGCAACGCTCTGGACTCAGCAAATGTGGCACACCGCCGCACCGAGCTCCAACAAAATTACTTTTAATATTTAGGTTTCGCGTCCGTTGTCGAACTGAGTTTAATTTTGGCCTTCTCCCCGACGGTCACTCTAGCCCCTTGTGCGGAGTCAGGTCGATGGGCTGGGCACACTTAGGGATGGACCGCCAGGCGATAGTTGCTTTAACCCTTGATAGGGCCGGGTCTTTACTTTTAATATATCAATGGTGCGAATTTAGAAATAGTTTTCGTTTAACAAACGTCTGTTCACTAGTTTTTAATTTGTTGAAATGTAGAGTAATATTTTAAAAATGTATGGCATTGTTTTTTTTTAGGTAAAACAAGGTATACAAAACAACATTTTAAATTTTTGTCTTTTTTTTTCACAAAAATGACAAAATTTAGTTTGGATCAAAATAATTGGATAAGGCACCACCTTATCTCTATGTTTTTAACTTCACACAAAAAAATAAAGGCAAATGGTAACATTGGCGTAATTCAGAATTGAATACAAATTTATTATATCGATAAAAGCAGGCTGGATAGGAACCAACCAAATAAATATTCAAAAGTTATTCAAACATTGACATTAATGACACATTAACGGAAGACAATTTCGGAAAGTCGAAGTTTAAATATCTTGCAGTCATGCACTGCACAGCTATATATTGGATATAGGATATTGGTCAACTCCAAAGATGGATCCCAAATTATAAAAAAACACTATAAAGGTAAAAAAAAAACAGCAAGATATACGTATAATTGTCCAAAAACAATCAAATATATCACATTTTTGCGCGATACAGCTACAAGATAACGACGTCCGATCGAAAAGGTTTTTCGATATGATCTGTGTGCACATATTTGTATATTTGTTTGTTTGCGAAAGGTACAAGTTTTTGATGCTGGTCATATACTTTATAGAGTCTGACCAAAATTAAAAAACCCTCTGAAAGGATATAAAAATGTTGCAAGAGCAACGATTAAAAAACCATACCATTATGAAAATATTCTGTCCAAAGCAACTACAATAAAACTACATACAGTACAGTTATTTTTGTTCAACAAAAGAAAATCATTTACTTCATTTTACAAAAATGTTACTTATGTGGAGCCTAATTAAGAACCTAATACCTAAGTAGCCGCTACTAGAAATCCGTGTATCGCTGTCGCAGACTCTGCCGTTTGGCAACGTGGTGCATCTGTAAAAAAAAAAGGTTCATTAAAATTACAATGGTTTAAAATAGTTATAAACTGTGGAAATAGACTAACCAAACGCTGTTGACGTCGTTCTCGATTTTTTTCGTATGCCTTGAGCAGCGAGGGACACGTACGCTTAATAAACTCCTCCGACTCCCAAAAAAGTCGGCCCTGGTTTTCGGAGCGCAAAAGAAATTCGACCTGTAAACGAATGGTAATAGAAAATAAATTATTTGGGATTTACTGAAACTCTTATGATATTCTATCCACTTCAATCAAAAACTTTACAAAACGATTTAATTAAGTATTCGGCTTTACACATTTAAATCATTAAAAATTGTTATAATCTGATTTATGGGTATTAAAGATTAAAAACCATAATTATTATTTTAAATCCAAAATTTGAGTATTTTGTAAGCCTCATTTTAATTAAGTTTTAAGAAAGTAAAAATGTTTTTTAAAGAAAATAACCATTAAACAGACTTAATATTAAAATTTGAAAGTTAAAACCCGAGCATGCCTGTATCTTTTTTTTAAGTAAAAAAATACTGGTAACTCATGTGAAATTAAACCAAAAAACTCGATAGTGTGAACCTAAACTACAGTGTAAACTTGCCTTGCCCGCCTTAGTCTCCTTGCCCAGGATTCGTTCAATGCCATTCTCGGGCTTGATGCGCCTGAAGAAGTCCTCGTCGTTGAACTCAGTGACCACCTCCTCGCCAACTTCGTTCAGCATGTCCTCGATGCTGAGCAGTCCGTCCTGCAGCCGCTCGCCGTTCTGCTCAACGCGCTGTACGAATGTCAACGGGTGCTGCTTAAGGTAATCCTCCGCCTCGGCGATCGTCTTGGCTAGGTCGAACTCCTCCTCCGCCTCCTCCTCTTCGTCCTCATTGTCCTCGTATTCCTCGGCCTCGCCGTCCAGCTCCATGCCATCGCCATCACAGTTTGCGCCGCTGGGCGAGGAGGCCCGTTTCGTCTGCGTGGAGCGTCGCTTCTTTTTCACCCAGGTGCCACCGTCGTTCTGCTTGACGTCTGGATGGAAGCGCACCTTCTTCACGCGGACGTTGGACGCGGTGGATTCTGTGTCTGTAGTGGAATTGTTGGAGGTCTGCGGCTCTAGCAGGCTGCTGTTGCTGGAGACGGACGTGGATGCCGATACTGATGCGCCGGAACTCTCGGCCAGAGTAGTTTCCTTGAGGTTCTGTGAGATTAGCTTGACTTTCGTCTCGAAGGCAGTGCAGGAGGATGTGGGCGAGTTGCTGGCCGGATGTTCTGGTGGGGTTACGCTGCTTGGCGGACTGTCGCCCTCGCCCCGCGTCCCCGCCGCAGCTTCAGTCTTTTGATCCGCCTGTTTTCCAGCTCCCGCCTCGGCGCCCCCTTTGTCCATCGATTCCGCAGCGGAATCCCGGCTGCAGTTGTCCAACTCCTCAGGTGAGGCCATTGTGTCCACATTGGAGTCCCCCGTCGTCTCTACCATCACACACTTGATTTGCATAGATTTGTCCAGCGAGTCACTGCCAGCCGAGTCATCGTTGGACTTGGTATCCATGTGGCTGCGGCTACGGGCGATCTGCGTTGGTTCTCTGTCGTTTGGGGTAGCTGCTACAGTCCAATTTTGGCTAAATGCATCGCAATTCAATTTTCTTCAAAACTTTGTTTAGAGCTGGGTCAGCCACTCACGCTAGTATCGATACATCGAGCATTTGGGCATCAGGGTTTTAGTTTCGATAGTAAGCGATAGCTCTTAAAGTACTCTCCACACTGCCTCGCGTTTTCTATCGAGATAGCAAGTGCTTGCTTTATTCGATTATCCTCCACATTGTGCTAAGGCCACACTGCACCACTCTGCGTCGAGTTATGGTGTTATCGAGTTAAGGTCCAGAATCCGTTTTTTTTAAATAGGCTTAGCATAGGAAACTAGTATTTTGCAAATGTGTAGTTAGGCAGAGTTTCGCCAAATTTTGCAAAACAAATGGTGACGCAAAAATTCCTGTAATTCATACAGAAAATATTGTTTATTACTTTTTTATGAGATGCCACATTTTTAATTTAAGTACACATAGCAAATTGGAGACATTTCCTCTAAAAAGTTGTATTAAATTATACAACTCATTATTGCCGCTGTTGTTCTTCCCATTAGTAATGATCCTTCCAAAGCTTAAACGGTCGTTCTGCCTGAATAAAGTTATGAAGAAATTAACTCCTAGAATTTGCAGGCATTTTCTTTTTTAAGACCATTAAAATTAAAATGAAAATGCTTTTATTTCCATCATTCAAAATTGCCAGAACATTATTTTATTTTCAAGTTGACAAAGTTTGCCTAATATACAATTCCATTCAATTTTTCACTGGTCTGAGGCCTTACATTTTTGGGTATGAAAATTTTGAAGGCCAAAAGCAAAGCAACAGTAATATCGATAAAAGCAGATGATTTTGCCGTTAGAGCTTTGAAAGCAAAGGACGACTGTAACTATTGCTGGAAAAGCAGCAGTTGCTGGCAACAACGTGAAAAACATAAAAGTTTTCTTTTGGAGGTTTAAAATTCTCTTAAAGTTAAAATGTTATACAGCAGCTGACAGATACAAATAAAACGTTTTATTTTATATTAAATTTTTTTCTTTTGCTTTGCTTTTATTTAAAAAGTTGGTCGCGCTTACAGCATCAGCACAGCATTGATTTTCGTGCTATGATCCTTTTATTCCTTGCTCATAGCTCTTTAAGCCCTCGGCTTAGGAACTTGATATACTCAACATATTTAAACACGTTCAGTTGTAAATGCAACTTGTGTATTTTTTATTTGATTTCTTTATTAACAATTGTTTTTTGTACATTTTTCTCTGTTGTAATTTAATGCCGTAAATCTTCGTGTGTGTTGGTGTGTGTGTAAGTGTTGTGTTTTTCTGTGTGCGTAGTAAAGAAAACTAAGTTATTTACACTAGCTTTAAGTTTAAATGTAGTTCAATGTTAAGGACTATTTAGTATATAATATATTGTGTGTATAGATATCGGTATCGATATAAGATGTATATATGCATATCAAAGGCGGTTGCAGTTATATCCAAGTAAGTTTCTGTATACATATCGCTTTTTTGCGTTATCTTCTGTTTTGATTTGCTTTGTTTTAATGTTTCCTTGCTTTAAACTATTTAAATATGGCCCCGCTATTCCACATGTGTTCTTTTCGTTTGCTTAGAGTTTATGATAACATTTTGTTTGTAGTGTTTACGCTTACACTGTACTACAAATACGCCGTTTGTTGGAAAACAATCGTAGTAATGATAAGAACATAACTATTCCTTAGTAGAACTAATAACTAATTTTAACCGTGTGCTGCACTTGTACAAAATAATATTGCAAATATTGCAAAAATTTCCCTATTCTCTGTTGATTTTTGAATTGCATTTAAATTGTGTTTGTTCTCGCAGCAGCTGTGTGTAAATATATATATTTATAGATTTATATAGTATGTATATAGTACCATATTCATTGCATGATATACGCGCTCACTTTCTTTTTTTTTCATTTACAATTATCAATAATCACAGTTCCCATTCAAAACATAAACGAATTAATTATAGCAAGACTTAATTTTGAATTTATCTTTTTTCCCTATACAAACTTGATTTCTTTGAAACGCTTTTGGATCTTGCTCTGGTTGGGTTAATTCTTCTTGTTACATTTTGCTTATTTAGCCAATGGTAAATATAGTGTCTACATTTTAACGTATGCTTACAGATTTCTCTCCGATAATTTACATTACAATTAATTTAAATTACATTTTGCACCGTTCTATCAAGTAAATACAGTAAGAATTCAGGGTTTGTCCCGTTTGTAAAGTATTCGAATTTTGTTTGATTTGATAAATTATCGATACGTAAGACTAACTTAGGGCTTACAACTAAACAAGTTTTAAGTGCAGGAACATGTTCCAACTAGGTGTGTATATGTGGTTGTGTGTTAGTGACAATAGAAATCTTTGAAAGGTGCCTAAATCGAATCCCAAACTCCATAAAATCATACCCCAAAAAAAAGAAAACATAAGCAACAACAAGGTATAAACAAAACCAAAACTCACTTAAGGCTAGACATAAGGTAAACTTAGGTGTTACGTGTTTAAACATAGTAAAAGATTGGACCTCTGGAGGTCTACTTTTTGGAAATGACTTTGCCAGTCCTGGCATTGACCAGTATCATTTTGTCCGGTGTTGGGGGTCGCTCCTGGGCCTGGGAGTCCTCCGGCTGGTTGGCACTTCCCCGGAGGATCCTTCGGCGCAGGCGATCGCTGATGTTCTCGCCTTTCTGCGACTCCAAAGTGGCTTCTTCCTGTGGTGGCTTCACACTCAGGCCGCCCTCGTTCTTGTACAGAATCAACTTGGTGCTGGGCTTCTTGGCCGGCGGTTCCTCCATCGCCTCGTCCGCTGGCTCTTCATCCAGGCTGCCCTGCTCCTGCTGCACATTCGCATTCATCACGTTGTCCTGGTTGTTGTTGTGCTCGGTCTGCTGCTCCTTGCAGGCACTGTTTTTATCCTCTGGCTCCCGCTCCACGCTGATCTCGAGCTGATCGTAACAGGTGTAGAACTCCACGGACTTCAGCTTCTCACTGGCATTGAAATGCAATGCCGTGTGCTCCTCCATTTCCGACTCCTCGACGGCACTGTAATCGCAGTGGGCACACTGCTGGCAGCCGGGCGATGGAGTATTCACACAGGCATGCTTCTGGAGGTGCTGCAGCAGCTCCTCGTGTTGCTGCGTCTCGAACGGACAGTGGAGACAGCGTTGGGGAGCCGGGACCGACTGGGGCATGTCCACTGATCCCGCATCACTGCTGGCATCCGCTGCCAAATCGCTGGTGGCCACGGAGGCACTGGTCGACGGCGTGGAGCTGCTTCGTCGCTCTTCATCTTCCTCCGGGGCGTCACCCTCGATTTTGGACACCGATGATTCCCGTGGAATGGCCACCACCTGGCCACCGCCCGACTCCAGCTGCTTCTTGAGCAGGGAGTTCTGATTATCATAGTTTCCGGTGGAGGAGCTCACCCCCCCTCCGGTGGTCTGCTGCAGGAGCTGCAAGCTGAGCTCATTGTCCACCACCCAGATGGTTTCCGGACCGGTCAGCTGCAGCAGCTTGGGGGCCGGGAACTCCACATCCTCCTTGCAGTTCTTGTACAGCTGCTGGCACTTCTCCTGGTAGTGGGACATGTGCACGGCCCGGTGCAGTTGGAGCAGGGTCTCCTCGGCTGTGCGATACTCGCAGTAGGCGCACACATATCCCTGATCCTCCGACTCCTGGTCGTTGTGGGCCAGCAGGTGCTCCTCCAGCTCCTGCTTGGCATTGCGCTCGTCATTGTGCTTCTGGGCAAATCGAGCCGGACACCTGGGACAGTAGCTGATCAGCTTGTACTGGTATTCCGGCGGCAGTTGCTGTGGGTTGAGCTCTGCATCCGAGGCGGCGTCCAGTTGCAGCTGGGACAGATCAATGGAGAGTGGCGTGGAGGCGGGCAGTTGTTGCACCTGCTTGGCAGCAGCGGCCAGCTGGTAGGCCACACTGAAGTCCAGGCACTGGGAGGGAGCTCCTCCTCCTCCGCCCACGGATGCTCCTGCCCCAGTGGCCATCTGCTGCTGGTGGACACTCCTCATGTGGCTGCTCAGGTGCTGCTTCTTGGCACAGACAAAGGTGCACAGCCGGCACTCGTATTGCGTGGGCTTGTGCAACGACACGTGGTAGTTCATCTGGGACTTGCTTTCCGAGATGTAGGGGCAGACGGGGCACTTCTGCTGCTTGCTCTTGGTGTTGTTACCACCGGCGCCGCTGTGCTCCGCGGCCGAGGGCAGCCGGGTGATCTCGATCTGGTCGTTCTGCTGCAACTGGAGCAGCTCCTCGGCACTGCTGCTGGCCACCTTGCAGGCTGCGGCCCAATAGGCCGCCGCCACCTGGAGATCCTGCTGGGAATTGGCCGCGTTCACCACCGCAGCGGCGCTGGCGGAGAGCGGCGAGTGGAGGAGCTGCTCCAGCTGCTTGGTGGTCATCAGCAGCTGGGCGTTGTTGTTGCTGGCGGCAGTCGCATTGGTGCCGGACTTTAGGACATTGCTGGTGGGGTTGGACGGGATGTGGGACTGGGACTCGTTGCTGGCACCTGCTCCCAAGGGTCGGTAGATGGGTGGTGCGTTCGTCGAGCCACTGGCTCCTCGCTCAAGGGTCTCGATCCGAATATCCCCGGAATGCTTTAAGCGACAATGCCGCTGTTTGGGGTAAATCAGAAATAGATAGTCAACAATTAGTACAACCTCAAAAGGGGGTAATTGCATTCATCAAGTGTCCTTCTGTTTTCATGTATGTATATGTGTGTGTGTGTGTGTGAGAGTGTGTAAGTATTGAGTATCCCCTTTTCAGGGAATATCTATATATAACCATGAGTTTAGCCCAATCGAAAACCCTCGCACCGTAATGGGAATCCCTTAAAGGTTAGCTTTGGTTTTTATTTTTTATGGTGTCATGGGTTTGTTTTTTATCATGATTTTGGATTTATGGATTACATTTAGTTCGAGAGGTAAATAGAGCAAGCAAGACTTTCACCAATGATTTTCTTATAGATAATAATCGTTTATCGTATAGAGTATAACAAAAGCAAGACCAGACACCACACATTTAAACAGGTAAAATCGGGGGGTAAATAAAGGGGGTACAAGATTGACTTTGCATATTTACCAGCGCAGCGCAGGGACTACGGACACAGATGGAGTGGTGAGATGGGTGGCGGAAGTGTCGGATCGGAGACTGCAATTTGACTGCTAACAAGTTTTTTCTGACTTCCTTAAGATCTACAGCTTTTTATGTTTAATTTGATCCTACATTCTTTAATTTCCGCTTAAAAAGGGCTTTGAACATCAATTGCCAATGCCTAAAAGGTTATGAGTGGGAAGAAGCAAGGAATGGCTATATCTAAATTATATGAAACTAACTTTATTTAAATATGCCATTAACTGGGGAAAGTAGATAAATTCTTTTACTATTTTTAATATCAATAAACAGACTATCTGGATTAATATTTAGGCTCGCATAATTTCGCTTCTATGATATATTCTTTTATAAATCGATTTTAGAGAATAAATTGTTATCTATTTCTGGTCTCCGACCATTCAAACAGAATCCTTATTTCTAAATAAAGTCCTTATCCGAGGAATTTGGGTCAAAAACGAAACTTTCGGGGATCGGCGGCTCGTTTCGGTTTTTCAATGGGACAAAACACAAATCCATTAAAGTGCACTGGGCCATACCTGGATGACATGCTTCCAATTCGAGACCTGGTGGCAGTGGCCGCAGCGATACGGCGACGGGTCGCGTCGATCGCCATCGGCCATGGTCAGGAGGCTGGGACTACCTGGACTATGGCTATGGAATCTCGTCTGCGGATGGGGCATCGGCACGGCAGGGGGCACTTGCACCTGCTGCTGATGCTGCTGCTGCGGCGCCATCGCAGCCAGGTAGGAGGATGAGGCTGGCGGAGGCGGCGGCGACGATGTGGATGAGGAAGACGCGGACGCGGAGGCGGAAGCGGAGCCGGCGGCCGATGAAGTGGAGGCCACCGAAGACGATGACGACGACGACGATGACGAGGGAAAGGAGTTGGAGTTGGGATGGGCTTTCGTGTTAGTGCTTATGGAGTGGGCATGGGTTAGACCCGCTGCCAGGTGGTAACCATCACCGGCCATGAGTGGATGGTGGTGTTGGTGGTGGTGGGATGAGGATGTGGATGAGCTGTGGTTACCCGCACCCAGTTGATGAGCCAGAGAGTTTGTGGCAGTAGAAATAGGAGTAGGAGTGGTAGTTACTGGCAAAGGCGATGCATTGGGCTTGCTGACTGAGTTGGAGGGTTGTGGTGGTGGTGGTGTGGTGTTGGATGAGGCGACGTAGAGGGCATCCTGCCGGAGTCCATTTCCCACAACCGAGTTACTGTTAGCGTTAGATAGATGATTTCCATTTCTGGCACTGCGCGGTGAGGTGAGCAGATCCTGCAGCGATCTGGCGGTGTCTTTGGTGGTGCTAGTGGTGGCTTTGGTGGTTCTACTAGAGGTGGTGGTGGTGGTGGTGTTCGGCGACGTCAGACTGTCGGCACTTGCCTCGTTTTGACTCGCTTTCTGCTCACCGTGCTCTAAAATGGAGGCGGCACTGGCTTTCGTCGTATTGGCTTGTGGCTTTCCGCCCACCAACGCCAAAGCAAGTCCGCTCAGAGCGCTGGCGTTGGGCGTGGGCGAGTGCTGGGCCTCCTGGATGGCCCGCTGCAGCAGTCCGGCGGAGATGGCCGGGCTTGTCCCGGCGGATCCACCGTTGGGCGACGACTGCGACTGGGTCTGCTGCGACAGGCACATGGCCGCGAAGACCTTGTTCATGTAGAACGGGTTCCCACCCACGGACACCTGCAGCGGCGAGGTGCCGGCGGCGGAGTTGGACTTCGGGTAGCTGGCGTCCTGGTAGTGGATCTTCACGTGCGCCAGCACTGCGTCGCGGTTCTGGTGGCTGTTATGCGGAGTAAGCCACCAATTAGTTCCATTGAAATAACGATCTTCAAGATCAACTCACCCAAAGTTGCACTTGCGGCACCGGTAGACCGTTCTCTTCTCGTTGCCCTCCTGGTGCACCTCGGTGATCAGATCGTCGCTGGGCTTGCCCTGCATCACCGATCCCTGACTGGGTCGCTTCACCGGCGAAATGGTCACCGAGGGCGTGATCATCGTGGACTGGTGCTCCTTTTGCTGCTGCTGCTGCTGGTGGTGTTGCTGCTGGGCCATTGCGGCATTCATCATGGTGGCCAGCAGCGGGATGCGGATGAGGTTGTCCGCCAGATGGGCGTCGTCCAGGACATTCGGCTTGCTGGGCAGCACCGGCTCCAGGGTGATGTCCTGCCCGGTGACCGAGCCCACCTTGGCGTAGTCCTTGAGAAAGGCCAGCGAGGCCACCTGGTTGGGGGTCATCTCGCCGGACTTCATCAGCTTGGGGTCACCATCCTCCTCGGTGACCTTCATCAGGGTGATGTACTTGTTGTACTTGGTGTAGTTCCTGCGGCCCGTCTCGTCGTTCATCAGGACCTTGGCCGTCTTGTGCGAGGGATCGCGGATCGTCTTCAAGCGGATGTGCTTCGTGATGTCCCAGCGCCAGTTGGAGCGGTACGAGCACAAGGAGCACTCGAACGGCTTCTTGTTCAGGTGGCCCACGATGTGCACGTGGAAGCGGGACGCCGTGGAGGCCCAGAAGCTGCAGTGCGGACACTTGTACACCTTCTTCAGGGACGAGTTGGCGGCCTCCTCCTCGGGCGTCATCTTTTTGGTTACCTGCAGTGCGTGAAAGAGTCAAATTTCATTTTGACGTGGCATATGCTCGTGCTGGGGTTAAGGGATTCAACTAAAAAAGGCTGCATTCAAGGATCCCTTGGACTATATATACTTATATATCAGATTATCAAAGTAAATGTTCTAACCCTCAATTGATTGTTTGCTTTGACAAAATAAAGAAGGTAGTTAATAAAAGTAACTGCTTTACTTAACTTTAAGATAAGTACGATTCTACAAAGTACAATAAAAGTATAAATATATAAATAATAAAAATGTAAAATTTTGAGTATCCTGAAGAACCTTAGATTTGTGTATCTTAAAAAAATTAAACTGCTTGATTTAACTAACATTTTGGGCTTTTACAAAAGTCCATTTAATTGAGGAAATAATGTAAGATTGACTTACAAAAATGGGAATAATATAGAAAACCATTTAGATTGGAAAACCTTTCAGAGTATTTCTTGGTTCTATCTCAGCAGTTAGTTTTTAAGTAACTTATTTTTAATTTAAAAAGAATTTCGGACCTTTGCTTGTGGGATCTGTGCTATGTGGACTCCGGACTTACCTCGCCGTAACCGGGTGCAGTTTCCACGCCGTAGTAGCTGTTCTCCTCGTTGCTGGCCGCCTGACTTCCGGCCGGGGACTTGACCAGGCTGTGGCTGCTGTTCTCCTGCTGCAAGGATGCGGCGGCAGCGGCGGCTACGATCTCTTTGGTGGCCTTGTTCCAGATGCAAACCCGTTGCTGCTGCACGGCCGCCTGCTGCTGGAGGCTCTGCGTGTCCGGCCGCCGGTCGCCGCTCTCGCCGGAGTTCGAGTCGTACATCTCGTTGGCGCAGCGGATGGCCTCGACGCACTGCTTCAGGTGGTGCAGCAGATCCGTGGAGGACTTGCAGCGGTGGCGACAGTGCTGGCAGCGCGTGGATCCCGTCACGCTGAGATTCAGGGCCGAATGCGAGTGGTGATCCTCGTCGTCCTCGTCGATCTCCAGTCGGTCGTCGGCATCGTCCTCGTGCAGTGCCACGTCATCGTCGTCGATGATCACCGCCGAGGCGTGGCAGCTCTTGCCGTGGATGATCGACTCCGAGAGGCACTTGGCCACATGGCCGCACTGGCACACCAGGTTCTCGTAGTGCGCCCCCGACTTCACTCTCTCCAGGAAGCCGGTCTTCTTGGTCAGCTGGCTGCGCGTGGAGTTCTGGGAGGCCACTGTGGTCGCCGGTGACAGTTGCGGCACATCCGACTTGTCCAGCATCTCCGAGATCTGCTTCTCGTTGAAGAACATGGACGCGATCTCCGTCAGGGAGCTGCGCGAGGCATTCGTCTCCTTCGACAGGTTCAATACGCTGGGGGGCAACAAAAACTGATTATTAACCGATTCGATCTGAATACTTCGGAGTTTCGAAGCTTAGGATTTCAAATACACAGAGGAATACTGGAAATTTAGCTCCAAGTTGGATATCAGATTCCAAAAGTACTTATCAAAGTTAGTCAAACTTCATTTTCTTAGGCCGATTAAAATTACACGTTTAGAACCTTTAAATTATTGCAGCTAAAGACACAAATAAGTAAAAGGTATAAGTTTCCAAAACAGTAAATTAGAAAAGGTAATGTAAAAAAATGTTGCATTTGGTATTAACATATAATAAATACGATTTGGCATTTTTTAGACAAATTTAAGCTTATTTTTCTTAAGATTACGCAAATTTACTTAGAAAATTTCTAAGCTTTCAAAATCCAAACGCGATCTAAGCCAAAAAAAAATCCAAATGGGTACGATGAGTACTTTCAGATTGTGACGTCCACTCCAAACCCCTAAAATGTAGCTCATTGGGTTACTCACTCTTTGGCTCCCTTACTGATCGGGATGAGATTGGGCACTGGTCGCTGGGCCCTGGGCGTGGTGGTTCCCACACTGGAGGTGTCCGAGGAGCAGCCGCCCTTCTGCGACAGATCCGTGGGCTCCTCCTCCTCGTCGTACTTGCTCCGCTTGCCGTAGTGGTGGTGGTGGGGCAACTGGTGCTGCTCCTCGTCGCCCCCGCTCATTGCCTCATCGGGATCGGCATCCTCGACGCCGTCCAGCTCATCGTCCACATTGTTGTTGTTGAACTGGTCCTCCAGCTCGGCGGAGTCGCTGAGGAAGTCCTCGCACATCTCGCTGGCACCGACCTTGTTCTGGCGCCTGGGCCAAATGGAGCCCGCATTGCCCACCGGTGGGACGTGGTGGTTCATCTCGTGCACCGTCAGCGATTGCTTGATATCCGCGGTGAAGTCGCAGGCGGCACACTTGAAGGCGCCCGCTCCGCCATGGTTCTTCATGTGCCTGTCCAGATTCCACTTGTAGGGCGTGCGGAAGTCACAGGTCACGCACTTGATCATCGGCATGGAGTGGTACTTGACGTGCTTGCTGAAGCGCGCCTTGATGTGGGTCACATAGCTGCACTTGTCGCACCGGAAGAACTTGGTCTTGCCGTGCTCGGCCAGCTCGTGGGCTCGCAGCTGGGTCCTGTAGAGGGTGGTGAACTCACAGGCGCTGCACTTGAGCAGCCGGTTCTGCGGCTCCTCCCCGTTGGAGGGGGGCGTGGCTGAGCCGCTGGTGGGCGAGGGGGTGGGCGGTTCGGCCGGCGACTGGCGCTCGTAGTCGCGGAGGACCTGCATATGTCGCTCATACGCACTGGAGGCCACCAGCTCTAGTTCCCGCTGCTCGCGCTGCTGCTCCTCCCGCTGCCGCTGATTGAAGGCCTGAATGTCCCGTTGCAGCTTCTCCTCCTGGAGGAGCAACTCCCGCTTCACCTGCTCCAGGGTGGGCACATCTGGGACGGCCACCGTCAGGTTCTGGCCACCCATCACACCCACACTCTCCTCCAACCGCCGCTTGCGTGCCTCCCGACTCATGCCCCGCTTGCCCCTGGCCTGACCATGCCCGCTGGGAATGCCGTCCGTGCAGCCGTGCACCATCTTCATGTGCCGCACCAGCTTCTGGAAGTGCCGCGAGGCGTACAGGCACAGCTTGCACTTGTTGATCACTATCTTCTCGCCGTGCACGTCGCGCAGGTGGGTCAAGTGGTAGCGGGGATTCTGCGTGAAGTACGCACAGTGGTTGCAGCTGTAGTTCCGCTTGATCTTGCACTGCGGCAGACCCTCCTCCTTGGCGTCCATGCCGATGACGGCCTGCTGTTGCTGTTGCTGATGATGTTGCTGCTGCTGTTGCTGCTGCTGCTGTTGCACGCTGTTCACAACTGCGACTGCTGCGGCTGCTTGTTGCAACTGCTGCTGCAGGCGGTAGCGCTCCACGTGTCGCTCCAGGAGTGACGAGCCCGCCTGTGTTGCTGCCGAGTTGCTGGTCGCGTTGCTCGCGATGTGCCCCGTGCTGCCGGCGGGGTTGTGGCCACCCTGCTCGGTGTACAGCTGATTGCCGCTGACCACGCTGCGCACGATGAGCGTGTCACCCGAACGCTGCACCATCGACGGCAGGTCCATGTTGCTGCTTGGTCTCTTGGTGTCCTGGCAACTCCCTCAAGACTGGCTGGTGGTCGACTGCAAGAAGAGGGAAGGTAATCCAATTAGCTGGAGTTGCCAATAATCTGACTTAAATATCATGACAGAAAGCATGAAATGATAATAATTAATATAATATAATTTAATTGAAATTGAGAACACATAGTTAAGTATATTGATCTGCGATTACCTCACAAAAGTAATATGACAATTTTGCCTATATCCCATGGAAATAAGGCGTCATAAACCTATCTTTCCCTTAAGAAGCTTATAAATAAATTTTGTCTACCAACATTAAAATATTTAATATAAACAACACAATACTCATTAAAATTTAGATTTTATCTGAATAAGAATAAGTACTTAAGCATAATTTAAACGGGAAAATATTTATAAACAATTTTTAAAATCTTTTAAACAAATTTGAAATACTTTTTAACAACGTACGTCTACGCTTCTTCAAAATATAAACCTCCCTCGCATTTCAGGCTATCAAGAAAAACAAAAAACTGAGGAAATGAAATCCCAAATGCGATACAAAGGCTGCCTTAAATGCAGATTTCAACACTTGCCCAACTCATTACACATACATTATCACAAGCACACATGAATCGGCTGTGTATGTGTGTGTGTCTCATAAATATTTCAGCGCTTTTCACCCCACTTGCTCCCCCTCACCGCCAACGTTTATCAGCAAAAGTTGGTTCAGTTTTCCCAACTTCCTGCGCAGGATATTAAAATGAAATGTTTTCTGTCCGCCGAAAATGCGACAAAGTAGCGTAAAATCAACAGAAAGTCAGGGAAATTGGGTAACGGAAAATGGAAAATCATTTGAGAAGTCTGACAGGAAAACGAACCCTAAGAGCCGCCACAAATCTCGGAGGTAAATGTATTGTAGTTTGTGCGTAACACAAATCCATTTTGGGGCTAATTGGAGTTGGCCAAGTTGAAAAAGGGAAATGGAGGATGAGTTAGGGAGCTGGAAAATTTCAATACACCCACACTGGCACCCACAAATAAAGGGGCCCAGGACCCAATGAAGGTCAACCTTTTTGGGGAGCCACCGTTTGCATGAGTGCACATGAAGCGAGGAAATTCAGGGAAGGTTTCCCGAACCGGCGGCTAATCCTTGGGGTGTCGTTTTTATCAAATGCAGTAATTTTGCTTTTTAAGCGCTTTTTATTGCCGCACCCGCACCACATGTGTGTGTAAGACCCCCACAGAAACCGCAATTGTGTTTTGGATTAGGGAGGACCAGGGAAAAAGAACAATTTGATGGAGCATCTCTCTGGTGTCATCATTTAAGTAACATATTTAATTATAAAGAGAGAGCGAAAAATACATTAAAACACACACACACGCATAGGCTGTGTACTCTTGACATTCAACACGTTTATTGTCGCAGAGCAACAAGCTCATCATCCCCCCAACATCCAACAGCCCAGCATCCTTCATCCCACATCCTACATCCTCATCAGCGTCAAGGCGGAACTCATTAACAGAGCGGAGAGTGTGTAAGTGTGTAAGTGCGTGTGTGTGGGTGGATGGGTTGGTCCAGGGTTGGCAGGACAATATGTAAAGGTGTAGTGTGAAGGAGTCACTGTCAACGATTACTGGCTAGGACGCACTCAAAGTTAAATATCACTTGGGGTCGGCTAGGTGGACTTTAATTGATGCACTTATTTTTCGGAACCATTAATTTTCACTGAAGTGTTTGTTATTAGCAAAAAATTAAATTTAAAGCAGATAATTTTTGAAAACTTAACTTGTTGAGTCTTAATAAATTCGTAAAGAATATATTGTAAGTGTAAATATGGATTGCCATATAGCCATCATCACAATTCTAAATGTATAAAAATCGCAAGCAATGTTACTAAAAGTATAAAATAAAATAAATTTGAAGAGCACACTGATTTGTGTGCTGTAAATAGTTGGTGTTCTTTTAAACAAGTGGGAATTTATAAACCATTCACAACGCTTTACAATATACAAGACTATTCTTTAACTGAAAAATATTAAGACATCTTTCCCTAAATTATACAAGCTAAAATTTACTTATTCTTTTTTTCTTCATTCGAATATAAATTTAAATTTTTATTCCCTGGCTTTAAATTAAGGATATTGCTAAATCTCAAATCTAATTGTTGTTTAGTGTTTCGGCATACACTTGACGAAGTCACTGTTTCAGGTAGCCCTCGTCCTGGACAGGATCGTCTTGTCCTTATGCATTGTTGACACCGCGCTTATTACGGAAGGCAAATGAGAAAATACGTCGACGAGCTGCTTCCTGCTTATTTGCCTTTGTTTACGTTTTGTTTGTGTTATTTTTGATGTTTTCTTTTTTTTCTCAGTTTTCAGTTGTTTGGCTGTTGTTGTTTTTTTTGTTGTTCTTGGTTGAGTAAATACACACACCCGGGTGCACCCACACCGGCACGCAGACAGGCACACACAACCTGCTTATGCGGCAACACGTTTCGCTTTGAAATTTTAATTTCTCACGCGACGCCAAAAAGTATGCTACAAAGGATAAGGCAAGGATGTATGGTGGGTGGGGGTTGGGGGGTTGGGGTACGCACTTGGGGGCCCAAGTTGTTGCCATTGTTTGTTCTTGTTTTTGTGTTTCTTGCTGCTGTTGCAGCCTACGCGGACTTAATTAATCTTGCTGCGGGCTTAGCCCGTTGTCCTGGCAATTCCTCAGTTATCCTGGTTATCCCTTTCTCGCTTCCCCTTCACCCTTCACCCCCCATTTTGACGCTCTAAGACTTCTCTTCCTTACTTTCGGTCTGTTTTTGGTCTGTTTTCGGTGATAATGAGACGACAGAGGAACGCCTTTTTTCTGGGCTTGCATTAAAAACTGTTGAGCGTTGGCGGTGGTTTGATTGATGGATCCCGGTTCCTAGGCCCCAAACGGTTGGCACTTTAGCTTTTTGTTATTTTAATAAGACCAGTATTTTTTTTAAATTTTCTGAAATAACATTACAGTTACAAACAAGAAAGAAGAAATTTCAAAAGCAACTTAAGAAATTTTTAATTTTTGTTTTTTAGCTTACACATTTGTTTAATCTTACTTTGTTTGTTTTTAATTCTCCTTTAATTTGTGCTTATATTTAATTTTATATTATTTATCTTTAATATTTTTAACAAATTGTTAAGAAAGATTAATTTTACTGATGTTTCAAAGTTTACCCAAAGTTGCAATAATAATTAAATGTGTAAGTTATCGCACTCTTTCAATTAATTATGTCTTAAAGTGTTATCTTTTTATCTAGCCATCTCTTAAAAAGTGTAATAAAGTAAAAAGTTCCCCAAAATAGTTGCATAATTTGTTAATTTCTGCGACTTAAATGGCTCGGTAGTTTGGTTCGAATTTTCTCAGCTTAATTGGCACTGCAATCGTTAAGGTTCTGTGGACCAAGAGGCATCTGGTAGCCAATTTCCTTGTTTGGCCATTTGCTTGCGGACCAGGAGGAGAGGAAAGGAGCGAGGAGGCGGAAAGGGAAGTGGAGCGACAGGAAATGGGCGAACGGAAGCTGTGTTGTTGCTACAAATTAACTGCAAGCTGCAGAGAAGTAAATAAGAAATGTGCCAGAGGGAAAAAGTATGCTGGGATGCTCGACAAAATGTTTATTTATCATCAATTTGTTTATTCGAAGGCAACTAACGCTGTCGATGCTCCTCATTTCGGCCATTTCATTTTAATTTCATGATCCTTTCGAGAGGAAGTTATCGCGCTGTTTATGGCAGTGCGAATTGCTTTCGAAAATGTAATAGCAAGTCTCGTAAAAAGTCTTAACAGCTGAGAATAAAAGCAAAGTTAATAATTAACGGCGTTCGGAAAATATCTTCTTTAAACACAATTTGCCTCTTTTAAATTGGAACCTAAATTGCCTACATTTAAGTCTCAATTTATCCAGATTTCTGCCACACTTCTCTTCTGCACAAAACAAAGCAGGAGGCGAAAACTTTATGCCAGTCTGGGTGCTATTACTTAAAGATGCTGTTGCTAAAACTAAAACGTCAAGGCAGTCAAAACTTTTACAAAACACTCAACCACTTCCCCACATTCTTAAGGATCATTGGGGCCGAAGCATTTATATTGCCTTCACATAAATCTCAACAGACGTCAAAGTTTATTTCGCATTTTGAAATTAAATAAAGATTTGTCACGTAGAAATCCATTTGCTGAAAGTCACCCACACATATTGAGCTGTTCCCAGCACACACACACGCAAACTGATGAGACAGCATAAAGAAAACAGTATTTCCTGTTTCTTCTCTTTGCTTTTTCTAGACAAATACCAAGGTCGAAACTTTGCCTGCTGTGATTTTTGAGTTTGAATTCGCACCACGCCTGTAATTTCTTTTTTCTTATTTTTGGTTCTGGTCGCGAAAAAAGTTGACCGGAAGTTGCTAGACCTTTTGCTTCCTGTTTTGATTAAAGCTTAGTGTCTGGAATGTGCTCGGCAATCTAAGCGGAATATTAATTAAAGTTCCTACTGAAAGTCTGCCGTTTTCTACACAGCATTTTTCGATGGAACTCTCACTGGGGACCTAGTACGGGTGTCGGTACGAGCATATGTTGGCATATGTTGACAGTCACCTGCTGTGCCGCTGGCTACAAATGTGTGAATATATTTCCATGGTCCTCCTTTTTGGGAAAACCCCCACAAGTCACCCTATTCCCTTCATACATAAACATGACGCGAAGTTGTCAGTTTCTTCTCTTGACACTCATACGGCATGTTGGCCATCCGCAGCTCAGACTTTTTCAGCTATTTGTGCACCTCAAATAATTAGCAAACACGGTTTTGTGGGTGGGAAAAAAAGAAGACAAAAATCAAAATAAAAAAAACAAACATATGCTTCGACAGCTATGGTTGCTAATAAAAAAAAATTAGAAAAATAGTTAAAAAAAGAGGAGCCGCTGAAAGAAAAAACCGCAAAGTGGAAAAAATCACAAGGAGATCTCCATGAACCCGCGCACATGCAAATTAACTGAAAGCAAAAAATGGCAGGACAACGTTGCTAATGCGCCCCGT